TAATCTCATCGGTTGCAGAAAACCAACAGACATCCAATAAAATTGATAATGATGTGTGTGTATGTATATATATATCCCATCCGTTGAAGAAAATCATAGGTCATTAAATACTCAATTAAATTCAAAGCAACCATCAACTTATATAAATGGACTTTGGAATCACATGAAATATTTTACTTCCCGTACCAAAATTTGTAAGTTTTAATAGGCTTGCATGTTCACTTCCTGCAACACCCAAATCCTCTACAAGTATCAACTCAAGTAAGTTAATTTCCTTTTTTGTTACTTTCTATGAGTATTCATGAAATGTACATATTATGGTTATGCACATTTGGGCTAGAAAGCACTTCCTATTGCTATTTAGTACTATGAAGTAGTGTCCTCTTTTTTTTTTTTTTTTTTTTTTTTTTTTTTGTGTGTGTGTGTGTTAATAATATGTACATTTATTTGATATATTAGGTGTGAGAGGAAATTTTATTTGAATATCTTGAAATCGTCAAAGATCTTTTTTTTTTAATCGAAATATTTTAAATATCCATAGCATCTACTTTGATCCATAGCATCTACTTTTTGCATAAAGTAACCCTTGAATAATATCATATACTACCTAGGAATGTTGTTGATTTATTTAAGAATAAATTTTATTTTGAATTTTTAACAATCTAATATCTAAATTTCCGGAGATATATGTATGCTGGATGAATTTGGTATATTTATTGATTATCATGAATATGTAGCATGGTTAATTTTAGTTAACGAGTTATAATGTGGTATGATGAAGATTAGGGAATATAATGATTCAATCGAATAGGAGATTCGAGTAAGTCTCTTCAAAATTTTAACATGGCGAGCAATTGATCGACTCCTTTTTTTCACCATGCATGGCAAACAAATTTAAAAGGAACAACATATTCTAAATTTTCTTACTATTTTTAAAATTTGTACTACTATTGTCTCATGTTTTCTTTTGCATTATGTTTATGCCATAAGGATTGGATGTGCTCTTTGATATTTATACCCCTATTCTTTTATTTCTTGAATCATTTTTTAACATTAATCTTAAATCATACTGAGATTTGATAATTTTGCATAGTTAGAAGCAAAAACCTCTTGAACTAACGTTTTTGAAAAAACATTGAGGAATTTTAATTCTTGCCATTTATTATTCATCATTTTGAGCTTGTAATTTTCTACTTTAATTTCCATATTAATCATCACATATAGGTTTTGATAATAATTATTTCATTTTAAAAAGTTTGTATGTATAGATATGGGATACACGTGCCAGAAACTAGTATATGTATATATATAGTGCTGTACTAGAGAATTAATATGTAGTTTTCGTGATTTGATAATATCACTCTTCATTAATAGCAAATTTACCCTCTTTAATCTCGCAAATCTCAATTGACTCTCATATTTTCTTGCAACTTTTGTCTATGTATCTTTTTCTTCAGATTTTGCTTCCCATTTTCATGTAATTCATGGATAGAACATTACTACTTTGTTGTTTACTTTTTTTTTTTTTAATTTTTTTTTTAATTTTTAACAATTAAAATAAGATTTCATTTCAACAACGAGGATGCAATTGAGTACAAAAAGAGAGAGAGAGAAAGAAATAAGTTCATGTATACATCATTAAGAACTCCTAACTAAAAAGTCAAGGAGCTAACAAAATATAAGAATTAGTGTAACGATCCGATCGGTCGTTTTACTTTCTAGAACCCCGTTCCCCTAAATAAGACTTTCCGTATGTACTTTTACTATTTTATGACTTGTGCGGATGATTAGTTCGGGATTTGGAAGGGTTTGGGTTGAAATCGGAACACTTGGTTCCTTTAGGTTGGCAAAAAAGGGCTAAGTTTGACTTTCGCCAATGTTTTGAGTAAACGACCTCGGAATCGGGATTTGACGGTTCCAATAGGTTCGTATAATAATTTTGGACTTGGGTGTATATTCGGATCGGGTTTTGGATAACCCAGGAGCGTTTTGGCACCTAAAAGTGAAAGTTGGCTCTTTGAAGGATTTAAAATTCTTTAAATTTGGTTTGGAGTAGGTTTTGGTGTTATCGAGGTCCAATTATGATTTTGAGATCAGGAATAATTTCATAAGGTGATTTAAGACTTGCACGCAAAATTTAGTATCATTCCGAGCAGTTTAAGTATGTTTCGGCGCGGTCGGAGTAAGTTTGAAGAACTTGAAGTTTTTAAGTTGATTCAATTTGGTTCTGGTGCGATTCTTAGTTTTGCTGATGTTTTATGCATTCCGAGGGTGCGAGCGAGTCCGTTTTATGATTTCAAACTTGTTAGTATGTTCGAGCGGGGCTTTAGGAGCCCGGATGCTAATCGGACGAGGCTCGGACCAAGTTGGAACTTGGGAGAAACAGCTGAAGCTCCCAGCTCCAGGTGCAATCGAACCAGTGCTTGGCCAGCCGCAGGTGCGAACTCTTGGCTGCAAAAGCGGCTTTGGACATTTGCCCAGTGGTCCACAGAAGTGGAGCCAGCCAGTCTAGGCTAGGACCACACCTGCGATATCTTTTCCGCAGGTGCGGTGCCGCAGATACGGCCCCAGGTCCGTAGAAGCGAAAACCGTTGGAGGTAGAACCTCATTTAATACCGGACTTAGACATTTTTGAGCTCATTTATTTCATTCCTTGGGCGATTTTGGAGCTCTTAGAGATGGGTTTTCACCTAACACTTTGAGGTAAGTAATTTCTACACAATGTGAGTTAAATACATAGATTATGGCTAGATTTAATATGTAAAATTTGTGAAATCATGAGTTTAGATGGAAAACCTAGATTTTTGATAAAAATGGGATTTGACCAAGAAAATGGTTATGGAATTGAGTGAAAATTATATGTTTGAGTTCATTAGATTATGGGTAACAACTTTCTTCAAAAATTTCTGAAATCCGGGCATGTGGGCCCGGGGTGAATTGTAGGAATTCTTCAATTAGGGTTGAAAAATCACTTTAATAGTTAGGATATGAACTTTTGGACATGTATTGATTATTTTATATAATATTTGACTAGTTTCGAGTCGTTTGGCACCGAGTTGAGGGTTTAAAGCACAATTGTGGACCGGAAACTAAGCTTTGAGACGAGGTAAGTCTCTTTTTCTAACCTTGTAAGAGGGAAGTAACCCCATATGTGAATTGAATTAACATACGCTTCTATTTGTAGGGGCTACGTACGCACGAGGTGACGAGTTCGTACGTAGCCACTAATTAGGCTCATGTCCGGGTAGTCTTAGGTTTACACCATGCCTTGTTGACACCGTTATTTGATTATGTTTATTAATTTTATTGAATAAAAGCTGAGATTGAGGATTTTATGATTTAAAGTTACAAGTTTAGATTCCTTATTTTTGGAAAGAATTGAACAATATTATGATAATTTTGAGAAATCTATATTCACTCGCGTCGCAAGTATTTTCCGTGAGCGAGGTAAATTCCACTATTCTCATGGGAGTGGGTTGTTCGCTTCGGCGGTTAATAGATGCATCTATGGGTTGTGGCGTTTGACCCTTGGCGGTGCACATAGTATATGTATATGTATTTTTGGATCGGGCCGTTACGTCCTCAACATAATTCGTGCGTACTAATACTTGGAGCCCAATTATATTCGATATTATTTCATTGTCTTGAGAGATTAAATGATGAAAATTAATTTGGGACTTAGTATAGGTGAAACAATTGTCTATTCTTTCTTGTTATTGAGTTTTATTATCATTTATATACCCCATGCTTATTCAGAATTTTAGTATTTTTATTTTAGCCTATAGTAAGTGTCGAAGTCGACCTCTCTCACTACTTCTTCGAGGTTAGACTAGATACTTACTGTGTACATGTTATTTATGTACTCACGCTACACTTCTGCACTACCCGTGCAGGATCTGAGATACGTGCATCTGGTTATCAACTCGGCGCGCACTCCTGATTTCTTCGAGACTTCGTGGTGAGCTGCCTTCTAAGCCCGTTCTGCAGCACCTGAAGTCTTCCTGTTGCATTTATTTTCTGTCTACTTCATTTCAGATAGTAGTTTAGTATTCTTTTATATATTCTTCTAGTAGCTCATACACTTGTGGCACCAGGTCTTGAAAATTATACTAGTAGACACATGATGATTTTGGATATTTTTCTCTCATTTTATAACATTCTTACTTTTTATTTATGCACAAATTAAAAATCAGTTATTTCTAAAATGTTAAAAGAAATAATCATGTGGTTAGTTCACTGTTGGCTTGCCTAGCGGTAACGTTGGGCACCATCACGGCCTAAAGGAGAATTTGGATCGTGACAACATGGTATCAGAGTACTAGGTCATGTAGGTCTCACAAGTTATGAGCAGGCCTAATAGAGTCTTCGAGAGGCTATAGGCTGTTAGGAAACTACTCTTTCTTCATCTCCTATCGTACAATTAATGTTATACTAAGTATCTTTCTTTTATTCTCTCACAGATGGTGAGAACGCGTACAACGTATATTCCAGACCCGGGAGGAGCTACTTCCCATGTTGCTAGAGGCCGAGGGAGGGCACCAGCCCGAGGTAGGAGACGAGGACATCCCAGAGTTTCTCCAGCTATTCCACCAACGAATCTAGTAGAGGATTCTATTATTGAGGAGCAGGGCTAGATGCCTGCGGAAGAGCCAGCCCCGGTAGATTTTATGTCAGCACCGGGCTTCCAGGAGGTCATAGGCCGTATGCTACAGTTCATAGACACTATGACCCGGGCTGATTTATTTCCAGCAGACCCAGCCACATCTCAGATTGGAGGGGGAGCACAGACCCCTACTGCTCAGGCTCCTAGGCATACAACTGTTGTATATCAGACCCCAGGCACGAGGTACCGTGGGCGGAGCCTAGCCAGTGGCAGCAGTCGTACCTATCACGACCCTAAAATCGACTCGGTCGTGATGGCACCTATCGTGGAACTAGGCCGGCCGACATAATTCCCAAATCTAACTATTTTTCTATAACAGTCATTTTTAAGTCATTAATTAAGAAGAAATCTTATAATATAAGTCTAAACAACTAGTGCAGAATAAATATACAAGCCCGACATCGGGGTATCACAAGTCACGAGCATCTACAAAGATCTGAATACAACAAAGAGTCTAGAAATGTACTAAATACAGTCTAAGGAAGAAAAGAGGGAGAAATAACAGTGCTGCAAACGTCGGGCAACTACCTTGCTAACTCCAATGACTCTGCCACTAAGCAATCAACACCCGTTACGGGATTCAAAACTACCTGAATCTGCACACAAGGTGCAGGGAGTAATGTGAGTACGCCAACTCAGTAAGTAATAAAAGTAAATGAAAGCTGCGCAGTAAGAAAACACGTAAGCCACGTCAACACGCTATAACAAATGCAAGACATTTCCAACACAGTACATAAATTATTTACTTCATAAATCAAGCTCAGTTCAGTAAAAGCCTTTGAAAATAACTTTCAATAGTTTCAAACGAGTGATAAAACAGTGAGTAAAAATGATATAAAATGTAGACTGCCCCTCGGGCAAAACATGTACCATAAACCGCCCCTCGGGCATAATATCAACAGAACCATCCCTCGGGCTACCTCACAATCACTCGTAATCAACCCCTCAGGCATAACAAGAATCAAGAACCGCCCCTCGGGCCAAACGTGGATCAAGAACAACCCTTCGGGCAACAATATGAAACAACAACAGCCTCTCGGGCTACATTATATTACTCACACTGGGTACCCGTGCTCACTGGGGGTGTACAGACTCCGGGAGGGGCCCCTTATGGCCAAACGCAATAACAAGCCATCTCGTGGCAAAATCAATATATCACTCACTCAGCGTACCCGCGCTCATTGGGGTGTATAGACTCCGGGAGGGGCCCTTTACGGCCCAAGTGCAATATCAAGCCACCTCGTGGCATAACAACTCAGGCCCTCAACCTCAAGATCATAAATCAGTATAACACTGCTGCAGTGTGCAACCCGATCCCATAATAACCTCACAACACAGGCCCTCAGCCCTACTTAGTCAGAAATCTCTAAAAGCCACTCGGACACAGTAAAATATGATGCTCAACCCAAACTATCATTTAAGATGTCAAAATAGAGTAAACATGGTTGAGTTATGAAAACAGTAGAATATAGCATGACTGAATACAAATATAAAGTCAAAACAATGAGGAATAGTAGTAAAAATCCCCTAAGGGTCCAAAATAGTTGGCACGAGGCCCAAATATGGCATTCATCCCAAAACATGATGATAGAAAATAATTTTCAATTAAATACGCAGTTAAACAGTCATACTGGATGGACTAAATCACGATCCCCAATGGTGCATGATCTCACGCTCGTCATCTAACGTGTACGTCACCTCAAAATAACACAACGATGTGAAATTCGGAGTTTCATACCCTCAGGACAAACATTTACAATCATTACTTACCTCAATCCGAGCAAAATCCTACTCCAAAATGCTTTTGCCCCTTGAATCGGCCTCCAATCGACCCGAATCTAGCCACATTTAATTCAATTCAGTCAATACTAATTATAGGAATTAATTCCATATGAAAATACTAATTTTCCAACAAAATCCGAAATTTAACTCAAAATCGCACGTGGGGCCCACGTCTCGAAATCCGACGAAACTCATAAAATCCGACAACCCATTCAACCACGAGTCTAACCATACCAAAATTACTAAATTCCGATAACATTTCGACCCTCAAATCCTCAAATCTATCCAAGAGAGTTTTCAAACTTTTCCAACTTAAAATCACCAATTAAATGTTAAAAACAACAATGGATTCGAGTAATCTATCAAAAATTATGTTAAGAACACTTATCCCGTTGTTTTCTCTGAAAATCCCTCGAACAATTGCCCCACTCGAGCTTCCTTGGTCCAAAAATGGAAGAATGGGACGAATTTGGACTTTATTCTGCTACCCAGGGTTTGTTCTTCGCGTTCGCGACCCTCCTCTCGCGTTCGCGATGAACAAATTCCTCGTCAGCGATTTCCAAACTCATTCCAGACAGCTTTTAGTATAATTGCCATAATTTTTTTTACACAACTCCAAATGACAAATGGTTTGATGTTCTGAATACTAGACACCAAGGGCTATAATTTCATAGGTTGCTAATTTCCTGAGTCATCATTATATATTGCGAGATATAAGCTTCCAAAGTCAGCCCTGTGCAGCAGAGATTTTCAAACTCTCCCCGGACAGACTGTAGTGTAACTACCATAACTTTTTGTACACAAATCTAAATGCCAATTAATTTACATTTCTGAAAACTAAACACAAAGATCTATAACTTTCATGTTTGGATTATCTCCAAATTCCTTATAGATTGTGAGATATGAGCCTCCGAAGTCAGACCTATGCAATCGAGATTTCCTTCTTCGCGAACGCGAAGAACAAACTTCCAGAGGCCAAATTCTTCTTCGCGAACGCGAAGAACAACACCAGATATCAGAAAATCAGCACCCAAAGTAGCCCAAAATGATTCGAAACATACTCGAGTCCACCGAGACCCCAACCAAATATACCAACAAGTCCTAAAACATGATACGGACTTGGTCGAAACTTCAAATCATATCAAACAACGCTAAAACCACGAATCACACCCCAATTCAAGCTTAATGAAACTAAGAACTTCCAACTTCTATATTCGATGCCGAAACCTATCAAATCAAGTCCGATTGACATCAAATTTTGCACACAAGTCATAAATGACAAAACGGAGCTAGAAAAATTTTTAGGACTGGATTCCGACCCAAAGATATCAAAAAGTCAACTCCCCAGTCAAACTTCCAAACTTAAATTTCTCATTTTCTCCATTTCAAGCATAATTTAGTTACGAACCTCGAAATAAATATCTGGACACACTCCTAATCCCGAAATTACCATACGGAGCTATTGGAATCATCAAAAATTCATTTTGGGGTCGTTTACACATTTTCATCTTCCGGTCAAATTATTCAACTTAAGCTTTCTTCTTGGAGACTAAGTGTCTCAATTCATTTCAAAAATCTCACCGGACCCTAACCAATTACCCTGACAAGTCACATAACAATTGTAAAGCATAAATTTAGCAGTAAATAGGGGAAACAAGATTGTATTATTCAAAACGGCCGGCCGGGTCATTACAGTACCTGAGCCCCGACCAACTGCGGCCGGCGAGCCGTAGAAGCTATTAGACAGATGGACTAGGCTACACCCTCCTGTCTTTGGAGGTGAGCGACATGAGGATCCCAGGACTTTATTGATTGGTGTAGGGACATAGTGCACAATATAAGGATATTAGAGACCCACAAGGTGGATTTTACTACTTTCAAGCTGGAGGGCAGGGCCCGTAGATGGTGGCAGTCTTATCTTCTTGGCAGACCAGCAAGTTCTCCTCCATTGACTTGGGATCAGTTACACATTTTTTCTTGGATATGTATAATCCACCCTCTCAGAGAGAAGAGTTGCGGTTTCAGTTTGAGCAGCTCCAGTAGGGTCAGATGTCAGTGACCGATCATGAGGCGAGACACTCTAAGTTGTCTCGCCATGCACTTATAATACTCTCTGTCACACCTCCTTTTTCCTGAAGGGATATGGAGTTTTTCCAATTAAAATGATATTAATTGAAATGAGATTATTTAATAAATTCAGAGTCACCACTTGGAATAATTTTATGATGTTCCAAGTCACCGGTTTATTTTAAATCTCAAATCGAGGAAAATTTGATTTCGTTTAAAGTCTGCAAAACTAGAAAAAACTAGGTAAGGAATTCTGTTAACCCGGGAGAAGGTGTTAGGCACTCCCGAGTTTTGTGGTTTTAGCACGATCACTTTTAATCTTACCTGGCTTAATTAACTATTTAATTACTTATTTTAGAACATATGTGTATTTTGCCTTTTACAACTCTTAAGTACTTGAAAGAATTATCGAGTTACGTGTTGGTATACTTATCTAATTTGGTGCATCAAGAATCATGTCACACGTATGTGTACACAATTCCTAACACTTAGTTTATTTAAGAAAAAGTTTGGTCAAAGTCGCGCGAACGCATACCTTCAATTTATTTGAAAAAATCAAAATCGCGACACGCGAACATGTACACAATCACGATAGTAGTTTAAAAACCACGCCTAAAAGCATTTCTACAAGTATTTATTTTTAAATCGTACTCGTGTCACGCGAACGATACACAATTAATAACATTTTATTATTATTAAGATTGTTTGGCCAAAGTCGCGCAAACGCGTACTTTGATTTATTTCAAATTTAATTTGTCTCATGTTCAAAGCTACGTCTACTTCTAGCTAGACTATACAACCCATTATGTCAAGACATACCATATGGCCCACATGAATACAACCAATAAAATAATCAAGCCCAAATAAATTTAATTCTACACTAACGAATTCATCACTCAAAACAAAACTAATTAATCTTCAGATCAACACTAAATATTAACAATGCTGAAACATACTAAAAGATGGCAAAATAGAGGCAATAGGAAGAAAGCCAATCAGGCAAATTAAGGTCACACATATTTGATGGCTGAATAAAGTAACAACTTTAAAAAAATAAAAATGCAGAAAATAATAAAGGAAATAAACCTTTTTTTTAATTAGCTTCTGTATTTGCAAGAGCCTCTGGTCAGCATACAAGGAAAGGCATGCCGACAACCTAAAAACAAACAGACCCGCCACCCGAAGACCGCACCGGAACCTCAAAACTTACCGGAACCATTCGTCGGAAGCCCGATTTCGAGCTGAAGCTTTGCTGGAGTTCTTGGCTGGATTTTGGAGGTTTTAAAACTGGTTTTGCTGCTCCTTTTCGGCTTGGATTTCTATTGTATTTTGGGGTGGACTTGAGGTAAAAATGGATGTATTTTGTCGAGTTTTAGGTGCTGATTTTAGAATGCTTTAATGGTGATTAGCAGGTGTTCTTGAGGGAGATGAAGCTGGGTTTTTTTTAGCTCTTGCTACTGCATTTTTTTATCAGCTGCTGCACAACTTTTTCTTTCTTTAGGGCTCTAGGGTTCCTCCTCACTTTTAGATATCCCCAAGATATATTTATACACTCCATATAATATGTGTGCTTGGCTACAAAGAAAAAGTTTTTGGGTCGGGTCATGTACGCGTGAGACCCAATTAAGGATAAGGATGATGAAAAAAATTGGACGGGTGAGGGAATCCTATGCATGTATAGAGTGAATGAGAAGATATATCATGAAAAGGGTATATGCGGATCAAATACCAAAAATATGGGACAAAAAAAAATAAATATAGGCAAGGAATATTCCTATTTTGGTAACTGCATATATGTACGAAAAGGATAAGAAACTTTTTGACCATGTGAATTTTGTTACGCAAGTCTGCCCATATTTTATGATATGCATGTGCACATATGGTTTGTTTTCTTTTTAACTTTTGACAAAATGCAAGAAAAATTCATAACGAAAGAGAAGACTAACAAGCTAACAAAAAAGATCTCAACTTACAAGAAAAACTAAACAGGAGAGTGTTAATTAATCTTACTGCAAAATAAGGAAAAGTCGAGAGATAAAAATTAATCCTATTTTAAGATCCTAATGAGAACAAGACTATTTTTGTGATTTTCTTTTAAAAGATATGCAACTACAAAATAAACTACTACTCCTATCAAGTAAAAGTGGCGAGGCAAAATACTAATTAAATGAAAATACTAATTTATCAAGATTAGGAGAAAAGATATATTTTTGTTCATTTTCTTTTCTTTGCAAGAATAACAATATTTAACACTTTAAAAATGTAAATCTTTTTGTTGGTTTTTAATTTTATCAAATAAACCTACTAAAACATGAAATAACGGCTAAAATATCAAGATTAAACTTAGCAAATATTTACATACTAAAAAGTAATGAAAAATTCAAATGTAGTCAACAATTAAGTGCTCAGCACATGCCCCTCTTTGCTTGGAAACATGAAGGGTTTTCAGGCAAAGACAAGGTGAGCCACGTGACTAATTTTTACCACACTATTTTCAAAAGGGAAGAAACAAAGAATAGAGAAGAGAGTGCAACCGAGTCCTGGTTTTGGACAGCCTACATATCACGGGTTATAAGGGAATCAGGTCGCGTGTAGTTCAGAGAGAATGACGGAGTGATGAGTTGAGAGTCGAGTGTGGTTCCGTCGAGGCTCCGGTCCGTGGTCCTGTTATTAAATAAAAAACCAAAATCTAAAGGAACTAAACAAGCCTATTAGCTATGAGTTACAAGATTCCTATCTATATTTGTTCTGAAATTTGATCTTGAGTCTTGAATGGTTCTTCATGCAGACTTTTGATTTGAGCCTTGCTGCTTGTTAGCTGGAGGTGCTTGTTCATTCTTCTACGACTTTTTCTGATAAGAACAGGGAATGTTGTGCTTAGGACTTCAGTCATGTCTTGAGCACTTCACATCTTTCATCTGCTTCTGCATTTTGGATTCACTTTTTTTTTTCTTTTTTCTCTTTTTTTATTCTGGATTGAGACCTCTTTTTTGGTCATCTCTAACATTGTGTCTCGAGGTAAAATCTGCTCAGACACCAAAACAAATAAACGAACGAAAATTTTCTGCCCCAGTTTTCACTAGGAAAACTTCGTGAGTTATTTGTAACCAAAACTCTATACTACTTCATTATTTAAAGCAATAAAAGTCAGGATTGTGTATCCTTGGGAAAAAGAGATTAGGGAGTGGAGGCCCTATATCTAAAAAAAATAAAATTCGTTAGGGATTGGAAACCCTATATTGAAAAATCATCAACTAGGGAGTGGTGACCCTATGTTGGCATCAGGTTATGTTGGCATTAACTAGGGGGTGGAGACCCTATGTTGGCGTCAGGTTATGCTGGCATCAACTAGGGATTGGTTGACATCAGGTTATGCTGACATCAACTAGGGAGTGAAGACCCTATATTGGAAAATGAGACTACTGAATTGTGTACCCATGCTAAAATGAACAAAGAATGATTTTTTTGTTTTTTTCCTTTTTTTTAAAAAAAATCAATTTTTTATAGAAAATCATTCTTTTAAACAAATTGCCCCAATGCTTTTTTTCAAAGGCATGAATAAATAACTTTTTTTAATTGAGACATCCTTTTTTTTAATTTCCTATGAGAAAATTCATCAGACTAAGTTTTTATTTCTTAGGAGAAAAATTCATTAGACTAAGACATCTATCCTAGGAGAAAGTTCATCAAACTAGGTTTTCTAATTTGTTATCTTAGGAGAAAGATTCATCAGACTAAGATTTTAATCCTAGGAAAAAAGCTCACCAGACTAGGTTTTCTTATTATCTTAGGAGAAAGATTTTCAGACTAAGATTTCTTGTCCTAGGAGAAAATTCATCAGACTAGGGCTCTTATCTTAGGAGAAAAATTCATCAGACTAAGATTTCTATCCTAGGAGAAAATTTATCAGACTAGGTTTTCTATCTTAGGAGAAAGATTCATCAGACTAAGATTTCGATTCTAGGAGAAAATTCATCAGACTAGGTCCTTTTTTTTTGTTATCTTAGGAGAAAGTTTGATCAGACTAAGATTTCTATCCTAGGAGAAAATTCATCAGACTAAGATTTTTATTTGGAGAAAATCCATCAGACTAGGGCTTTTTATCCTAGGAGGAAAAATGTGAGTGCAATGAAAATATTTTATGCACATTAGCAAGACAAATAAAGGCAAAGATTTGAGAAACTTCCCTGTGTCGGCTCTCCTCTTCTCTTCTTTTTTTCTCTTTTCTTTATTTTTTTTCCTTTCTTCCCCCCCCCCCCCCCCCCTTTTTGAACCATTTGTACTGCTTTGTTCCTGTTTCAAACAAAGAAAATTTTGTCAGTTTTGAAAGTGGTGGTTGGTTTGTGGCCTTGAGTCTTGGGCAGCTTGGCTTTTGCTCAACCAGCTTGAGTCGGTCTCAAGAGACTTTTGCTCTACATCAATCCTGATTGTTTCACACTCAGTACCATTTGAATTTGCGGCTCAATCAGATGTATCTCGGAAAAGAGATTTTTTTCTTGGATAACCTTTTCTGATATCTTGAATGGCTTTTGCTTTTGGAGCAATTTGTCTGTCAGAGAGAATCACAACTGGAAGTGTCTTTTGCACGATGTGCACACACTATAGTCCTTGTTCGGTACTACAGAGAATCCTTGATTAACCTTGAGGTTATCTTTGCTTGCTTTAGCTAAGTAGGCTGATAAGAGTCTTTTGGGGGGGGAGCCTTTGCATGAATCTCAAGGCATGTTGCCTGTAACAACCGAGTGTGCTGGCCAAATTTACTTTGTGCAGCTGAAAAGCTGGTAGCAAATTTTGAAATCTTTTCTTGCTTTTTTTTGGCAAGGACTGACTCAGAGCGAACGACACAATGATGCAAAGAAACAATATTAACAAGATATGCCCCTGTCGAGAAGGACAAAAGGAAGAGTTTTTTTTTTCAATAACTAGCCTTAATGACCATGACATGCATTTTGGACTCAACGGCCTAATCTATCAAACTGATCTAATCTTTCCTTTACCATTCCTATGACCTTTGAAGTCGGGCTTGTTCGTGTCAATCCTTTGCATCAGCTTCACGATTCACTTTTGACTAGTGGTGGCCCGAAGGGTTTTCACCAACAAGCCTCTCTCATTTATTATCTCTACTTACCGTTGCTTTACAGTGCCCGTAAAGGTTTTCGCTAGTAAAATTCTCTCATTTTTTCTTTTTCTTTTTTTGTTTTTTCTTTCCTTTGTGAGCAACTTGACAGTGTTCTATATCGTGTGACAACTGTTGGTCATTGCATGTGTCTCTTAGCATTCTTGAAGGCTGATCAGGAGGTATTTATTTGGATAGGGTTGAAAAGAAAAGACGGCATGATGGCTCAAATACTAGTTTCAGATACTTGGGATTTTTTTGGATTTTTTCTTCTTTTTTTGACTTTTATTTTGTTGGACCGAACCGTGTAAGGCTGCCTTGTCAAATGTAGTTCAAATATCTGTCCTAACTAATTTTTTTTCATCTTACTTTCTATATCTTTTTCTCTTTTTTTTCTTTTCTTTCTCCTTTTTTTTTCAAAACAAATTGACCTAACTTTTTGTAATGACCCGACCGGTCGTTTTGAGTTTTTGCACTTTGCTCGCCAGTTCTCGGGCATGACTTGCCCCGTGTGATGTATTATGACTTATGTAAATCGTTGGTTTTGGTTTTTAAGGTAATCAGAATGAATTTGGAAGAACAGTTCTCAATTTGTAGCTTGAAAATTGAAAGGTTTGACCAAGTTTTGACTTGCTTGTATATGATCTCGGATTCGAATTTTTATGATTTGGTTAGCTTCGTTAGGTGATTTGGGACTTAGGAGCGCAATTGGAATGCATTTTGGAGGTCCGTGGAAAGTTTGGGCTTGAATTGGCGAAATTAAGATTTTGGCGTTTTCCGATTGATAGGTGAGATTTTTATATAAGGGTTGGAATGGAATTACGGAAGTTGTACTAGCTCCGTTATGTCATTTGTGACGTGTGTGCAAAATTTCAGATCTTTCAGACGTGGTTTGATTGGGTTTTTGATCAAAAGCGTGATTCAGAAGAATTTGGAAACTTAGGCTTGAATCCGATGTGTTTTGGTTGATCCGATATTGTTGGAAGTGTTTTGAAAATTGGTATAGGTTCGAATAAGGTTATGGGATATCGTTGTGCTTTTGGTTGAGGTCCCGGGGGCCTCGGAATGGTTTCGGATGGTTATCGGGAAGTCGGACTTGGAGTATTGCAGCAGAAAATTTGCTGCCTCTGTTGTTTCCGCACCTGCAGATTTGGTGACCGCAGGTGCGATGTCGTTGGTGCGTAATGGAGACCGCAAAAGCGGTGCTGGCCGCAGAAGCGGAGACTTTGACCGCATCTGCGAGGCCGCAGGTGCGATACCTGGGTCGCAGATGCGGAATCTGAAGGAGTAATGGAATCCGCAGAAGCGGGTGTTTTTCCGCCGAAGAGGAAGTGCAAGTGCGCTTATGGGATCGCAGGTGCGGAAGTGCTGGGCAGAATGTATAAAAATGCCCTTTCGGGATTCTCAGTCATTTTGTTCACCATTTTTGTGCGATTTTGGAGCTCCAAGCTGTGATTTCAAGAGGGGATCAAGTGTTTCCATAGAGGTAAGCTACTTGGGCTTTATACCTTGTATTTATGGTGATTATTTCATTATTTAATCATGAAAAATCAGTG